GACTATTTTTAGGTGCCTACGACAGTACACCAATTTCCCATTAAGGTTCTTTCTCAATTCATCAACAAGATCGAGACTAACCCAACTTAACATATGCCAAGCATTACAACAAAGAGTGGGGTGCAATTGTTCGAGATTTTTGATATTAGATTGGTCATCCCAAGGAAGCACCAACTAAGGAAAAACATGTGAAGAAGGAGTTTGATCTTAAAGGAGTAAAACAAAAGACGAGATTCAATGAAATTGGAACAATCAAGAAAATCTCAGACTCCGATGATTGCTCTAAAGTTGATTTTGTTGACAAGAAAGTTGAAGTTTTCATAGTTGAATTCGAGCAACGTGGTAAAGTCAGTTCATATTTTATGGAAATGGCAAAGTGAAATTTTGGAGGATAAACAAATATGGTTCAAAGTCGACCGATGCAAGCAAAAATAAGGAAGACGAATATTGTAACTTCTTGAGTTCTAAGAACACGAAATGATACTTAGGTTCATAGCTTTTGTGTATATTCAAAATAACGCGGATTCTAAAATGACATTTGTAAAGATAGAGAATTTGATACTTGGGCAAAATTATTTATTAAAAACTAAACGTTTAATGGATATGTTTAATTATTTCAATTATTCATCATCATTGGTATTAAACACTAATTTATGTGGTTATAATTATATGACAAATTAGTCATTTGATTGAACTTATAAAGTGCAATCACCCAGACTTGCATTATTCTTTGGCCGTTTTGAGATTCTATAATTAATGTAAAGCCGCAATTATACAGTTGAAAGGAAGATATAGTTCCACCGTTCAGTCACTCGATAATTAATGTTGAATACATCTTGGACTACAAATGAACGAGTCCGAATGCAAAGCACTCCGGATTTCTCTGATAAATATAATTAATGAAACATGTATGTAGTGCGCCTTAAAGTAATGTTAATTAATTTTAACATATCATTGGGAGTATAAATAAAAATATGAAAAGTGAGTAACTAACTAATCCGCCAAAGTTGCCTAATTTGACTACAAAAAATGTTAGCCCGGTGTTCGGTAAAAATTAAAATTAAAATTTTAATTTAAGTTAAAATTAATAATTAAACTACATATTTAATGAATTTTACAATTTTTTAACCACCCCCGAACAGGGACTAAATATTCCTCAGCATAGCTTGCATTGCTGGCCACTAGCGAAGATAATTGAGAAAATTGTCTTTCGCCTTCAATCAATACAAGTAGTTGCAATATGAGGTCCTCGTTCATTTTTTCTCTTTCTTTCTTTTTTATCTGCATAGTCATCAACCACATGTTTAGATGTGGATTTAATCATTTCTATCTATTTTCTACACGGTGCTATCTAGTTTACAAGCAACAAGATTTCTCACCAATTTGCTGCCCAAGGGAATGGGTGGGCGTAGATTTGATGCTGTTGTCGTATCTTTTGTGTTACGGCTACAAGAATAGAATTAAAATTGAATACATTTACAAGGTTATTTCATATTATCCATATTACTAACATTTGGACTTGGGGAGTGACCATGGTGCCGGTTCAAGTTCAAATGTTTAAATGATGAGACCTTAAATCATAGAAATTGAAGATGCATAAAACAAGAAATTTTATAATTTTTATAATTTTTTTTTTTATTTTTTTTTTTCCGAAAAATTTAGCATGATGCATCTATAATTCTCTTCAAAGCACATATAAATAAGTTCATTAGGTTAATGATGAATTTTATTTATTTATTTATTTATTTTTAAGTTGAAAGTGAAGTTCAATAGAATAACCTAAAAAGATGATATTGGCACAAATATAAATGTTTATTTGTGTAAAAGAGAAAGAGAGATGGGTGCAAGTCAATAAGTGACATATAGGACAGGGATGGTAACGGGGCAAGGTCGGGGCAACCTCCCCTTCCCGCCAAGCAATTCCCCTCCCCGTTACCCTTTTAAGGAGAGGCAAGGCAAGGCGGGTGGGCCCGTTTACAACCCCATTTAATTTTTAATTTTTAATTTTTAATAATTTATTTTATTTCCCTCATTCATTAAATTGAGACAAATAATTTTAGTTGTTATTTTCTATTAGAATTAATGAAAATTTCTATTTAAAGTATTGAACTCTAATAAATAAAACATAGAGGGGCACCCGTTACCCATCCCTGCCCCTGGGCAAAATTCTCCACCCCGACCCAAATACCCGATTAAGCGGGTAATTCCCAACCCGTTCGGGGCGGGGCCCACGGGTATCGGGTTTGTCGAATTTTTTTACCATCCCTAATAGAGGAGAAAATATTAAGCCCCTGTTTGGTTTGGAATAAAATTCAATTAAAATTTCAAGTCAAAGTCAACAATTAATTTTAACCACATTTATCATAGGATTTATAACTTTTCAATAATACATTTCATCAACTTTTATCAAAATATGCTAAAATCTGATTTTAATCTCTACATTTACCAAACTGGGGCTAAACATTGAAATGTAGCTGAAAATATGTTATAAATATTTAGGGTTTTATTTATGAATTTTTTTGTTAAACTATATCGAATAATAATATTAATGGTATAATAATTATGTGAATTAAAACACTGACCTTTTAAAAATGAAATGGGTGGAATATGATACGAAGGACTAGCTGCACACTTGGACCTATTGGTTGGGGACTACTTTGCATAAAACAAAGCGTACGCTGATATTGCAACAACCTCTATAGATTGGGGATGAATAATGCAATTTTCCGAAATTTAATATTCAACTGAAGGTTGGACGATTTGTTTGAGATTTATTGTGAAACTGTGATGGAAAATTGAGGACCAATTTGATCTTTTTTAAGTTGTAGGCAAACTTGCTACTAAGACAACACATTGGTGACTGGTGGTACAATTTTCCTACAAACAATTAAATAAGTTTTTTTTTTTTTTTTCTTTTTTGCACATTTCATCCCCATCCTTTAAGATTAGCAAATCTATACCAAACCAATTTTATTAGCACAATACATCTCGAATATTTCAATCAATCAGCATTATTACTGTTGAGAATATCATCTGTAGGGGCAGCAATGGTGATATTGTGTGGTTTGGTGAGGGGAAAAGATGAATTGGTTTGTTTTTTCTGATTTTTTAATATGCCTCATTTTGGAAAAATTGCATTGTTGATCCTTATTTTTTTTATTTTGTCTTTGTTTTGTGATTATATAAAAGGTTAGGGACTATATCCACAACTTAATTCTTCCCTTTTTGTATATTTTCTTTATGTATATTTAAAAAGGATGGCACGTGCGTCATTTTATGTGACTTGAACTGCCAAAATCAACGGAAGGATAGACTTTGCTAATAATTGAAAGATTAGGAATGGATTTTGCTAATAAAATTGGTTAGGGATATGTTTATTTATTAATGTATATTCATATTTCTATTTGCTGCATATACATTTCTGAAACGTCAAGTACTTTTATTTCTAGAATTTCATTTATCACTAAAGGTTTCGATTCAAAAGTTTCTATCTTGGACTATAAATATATCAAAAGAATTAATGTAGAACTTGGAAAAATGCATCTTGGATTACAGTTTAACATGAGTTTTGAAAAGTTAAAACGAGCTTTTGATGCTCAAAATCTTGTTTGACCCATTTAACTAATTTTATGAAAGTGTTTCTTCTATTTAGAGGACATTTTAGATGAAACTGATCATATATAAAATCTTTTAAAGATTTTATAATGCGCCTCAAAGTAATGTTAATTAATTTTAACATTTCGTTGGGAGTATAAAAACTTGAAAAGTTAACAACCGACTAATCCGACAAAGTTGCCTAATTTCATTACACAAAATGTTAAATATTCCTCATCATAGCCGGCATTGCTGGCCACTTGAGGAATTTATTGATAAAATTTCACCTTTTGTCTTCAACCAATACTAGTAATTGCAATGTAATCCTTGTTCAAATTTTAATTTATCTTCGTAGTCATCAACCAATAGGTTTAGATGTGAAGTTGTCATTTTCGTTTACTTTCTATGCAATATTGTCCGGTTTACAAGAGTACAATTTAATGCAACAGATTATGTTTATAGAGCGACATATACAAGGAAAGATTAAAGTTCAAAATGCATCAGTGTTTTGTTTTGTGAGTTTAATCTTTAGTATATCAAATATTATAAATTCTTAAGATTTTATTTATGAAAAATTTGCTAAATTGTGTCGACTAATAAAATTGAGGGTATAATAATCATGTGAATTAAATATTGACATTTTAAGAATGAAATGGATGGAATATGACGGAAAGGATTAACTGTTCACGTAGACCTATTTGTTCAGGATTGCTACGCAAAAACAAACTTGTATAGGGATGGCATTGAAACTACCTCTATAGATTGAGATGAATTGCAGAATTTTCTCAAATCAATATGTACACGTTGTATAATTGAGTCTATTGACCAGTAGTCGACTTTCATATACACAACTAGAGATGTCAAGACGGACGGGCCGGCCATGACCCGTGAAAACCGGCCCGGGAAAACCGGGACCGCGGGCCGACCC